AAGCTGCAACATATAGAGTTGGCACATAGACAAGCTGCAACATATAGAGTTGGCACATAGACAAGCTGCAATATATAGAGTTGGCACATAGACAAGCTGCAACATATAGAGTTGGCACATAGACAAACTGCAACATATAGAGTTGGCACATAGACAAGCTGCAACATATAGAGTTGGCACATAGACAAAAGTTTACTATTTAATTAATCTTTTAACATAGAGGCTTGAAGCTCTAGATGTATTTTGATAAGACGTGAACACAGACATGTAACCTCTTGTGTAACTAACAAAACATTCATCCAAGAAATATGGACTCCTGAGGTGATCATGACCATTAGCTTCATGGAAAGTATCCAGCTAGTCTTCTCTTGCTTCATGAAAAGTATACAGCCAGCCTTTTCTTGCTTCAAGGAAAGTATCCAGCTACCCTTCTTTTTTTCTACTTTAATAAGAACTTCTGTTGTAGTCCACATAAAATATGGCAATAAAACTAGATGTGTGGCAAGTAATCTTGATTTAATTAGAGCACAATGCACATAATGTAAAAATAAACTACCTAGTCAAACTAATGACTCTTATCTTCAGTATTATTAAATGTTCTGGTTTACTCACACAACTAATATGTAAGCCTGAAAAATAACTGGTCATGTTTCACATGATGATTTTATCATAAGCAGCCCCTTAAAGATTAAAAAAACTTTATCTTTGTAAGTCAAACTTCAGTCAACACTGTAGGACAGAATATAAATAATTTATTGTATTAAGGTAAGGTTTTCTTTTGGTAAGCTTGCTCCATATTAGAAATCTTCTAAATATGTTATGAATATATAAATCTTCTAGCTATCTTACCATACAACTGACAATTAAATATTTGTGTACTTATTGAGTTTTTAAAATGTTATACTAAAGCAGAAGAAAAAATGTCCCCACTTTTCTCACCATGTTGTAGTAACTTGAAGAAATTATTCTCCTTTGGTTCCCCAAAAGGGGGCCAAAGGCCACCCAGAGGAGTCACCTGTTTTAAACACTTGCATCATTATCCAGTAGTGTGCTGTCTTTCTCTCAGTCAGTCAGTCAGTAGACAATAAAATGACATCAGATAAGATACATTTAATGTTTCAATTTCTATTGTTGTGATGACAGTAAAATGGGTGCATGTCATGAATCAAGAGAATAATTATGTACTCTGTAAGCTACAACACAGCGTGACACATGAACTTCAAAAGCAAGAAATAAAAATATATTACTCTTAATGTTGGTTTTATTTACTCTTGAAACAGAACACTTTGGGGAACCCGTGCAAGTACTTCTAGTATTAGTCTATATATGTTGTAACCTTTTCCTGTTAACATTCTAATTTCTGCAGTCTTGTTTCATTAAAGCATTCATACCAGTTTTTCAGCGCATCCATTATCCATTACAATGGTGATCTTGTCTGAAATGTAATGCTACTAACAGTCTTGCTGTTTTGTTGTTGTTTATTTTTTATTTTTTTTGAGTATATAAAAGTTCTAGATGAGAAACCTGCAAGAAAATGATAAATGTAGATTCTGTTTTGTTCGAAATGTTTTCAATTGCTCTTTAAGTTCTATTTATCATATACTCTTTATATTTTAATCTAATATATTTCTACATGTGTGGCTGTATCAATTACAGTACAGTAGATGTTCTAGCAAAGAGTACTGGTTGTTGAGAATATAGAAATGTAGGACTTTTTATGTAATGAATAAGTAAAGATAATGTAATGCACTTTAATGAAACCTGGCTAGAAGCACACTATCTAAAAGGCATGTATGTTCCACTAGATAAAGGGAGCTTGTACACTCTGGCTCTAAGACCAATGGTTCTGTATGGTGAACAAGATGCTTATTTTGTAATCAGTGCCTTACGGGCGGCAAAAAAGAGGAACGGTGTTCTTCAGCGGGTACACAGTGTCGATGAGAGACTTCAGGTCATGTATGTTGGAAATGCTGCTTGGGCCCACATTCGAGCTAAAGATACGCTTCGTGAAGACAAAACGGCAGCTGGAGAGGTATATTTTTTAACCGATGACACGCCTATCATTGACATTTACGAAATAATGAGACCTTGGATAGAAGCCCATGGGTTTAAACTTTCTGATTATGTACTTCCTTATGTATTTGTATATGTTTTATTAGCTATTGTTTGTTTTTTCCTGCGATTGGTTAGCCCTTTTTACAAGCCAGAGGGTTACGTTACATCTACAGAAGAGTTGGATTACTTGTGTTCAACCTATTTTTTCAATCGTGCTAAGGCTACTCTACGATTAGACTATCACCCAATATACACTCCTGATGAAGCCAGTGAAAGAAGCTTGAATTATTATGCTAATGTTGAAATCTAATATAATTTAGAACAACGAGAAAAGAGCATTCTCCTTAATATAACATTCTTATCATATATTTCATGTAATCTTATTCTCTGAACAAATACAAGCAATACATTTTTTCTATAAATGTATGTGATGTAATGCGTGCTTTCAGAATACCAAGTTTGTTCGTACGTTTTTGTTTCATAATATTTAATCTCTTACTGAAACTTGCTTGTAAATACCAAATATATGATTATTTATCTTTTTATATTTTCTATAACACTAGTTTGTACAAGTGAATATTTGTATTGGGTAACATAATGTTTTAAAGATGTAATATTTAAGTGCTTACAAGTTATATGTATTATCTCAACAGTTGATGTACATCTACTATGTTTAAAATGTAATGCTTTTAACATTGAATTATATGAATAGCAGTTAAACGTTTACCATTTATTTTACGTTCTCAAAAACGCAGATACCTCAGTAAAAATCTATCACAAGGAATGGACTTATTAAATCGTACTTGAGGTAGTGTTTCGAAATGACAGTTCTTTGTTTTTAATTAGTGATTTGCCTGAAACAAATTAAAAGAAAGAGCTTATTCAAATGAATTCAAAACTGCTAAAGAATTATGTTAAAATATATGGTGTCCAATTTTTATACCTTCAATAATATGTGATTAAAAATAATATAAATAAGTTACGTGTAGCCAGATTTTAAAAATATGTTTATAAAGTGAAAGGATGAAATATGTTATCAATCAAACAAAATATATTTTAAGAGAAACAATAGAAACGTTTTATTTCTTGGAGATATAAAAATTTAAAGGAAACCTAAGTCAACTCATTTAGTAAGAGGGGAGTGGAGGAAAAAGTCATAACTTTTTCAAATAAGATTCTCTAATCAAAAGAAAACACTGAGAAAAAAATCAATTATAACCAATATAAACATAGTAAAGATTTCTTTTTTACATTAGCTAAGAATTTTCCGATCAAACTAACTTAAAAATAAATGCTCATTATCTGTATAGGATCACACAGAATCAGCAAATGTTTTCGAAAGTGTAGAAGTGTAACTTTTATATCCAAACAAATAACTACAAACAAATAAGATATCACCTTCATACTTTTTTTATACCAGAATTAAATAGGCTTAGGCATTCAAGTTATCTGGTTGAATTGCTAATTCTTTATTGATTATGTGATTGCTGGAGGACCGTGCAACCGGTGTCAGTAGAGAGAGCTACAGGACAGCTTAACCCGCTGCTCTGCAGTTGTGTACACCGTCTGTGACAAAGTCGAGACTGACATTATAGCCCCATACTAAATTGTTTTTCGGGAATAAAAGAAAAAATTCACCTTCAAAATATGCTTGAAGTGTGTTATTTGAAATGTGCAATAAAATTTGAAAAATGAATGAGAGTGGATATTTTACATACCCCCGTCCCACTAAATTAATGTCGACTAGACATTTTGAAATTTCCCATATCGCTATCAGCTCTCAGACTGTGGTGGTTCATTGGTGTTTATTGGACACTTTTTGTATTACAGCAGTTTTTAACATCTAGTACCATTATGATATCTAACTTTTTTTTTCTCTGCCACATTCTCGAATGACAGAATAATAAATCATAGATTGGTTTCAGATACCTTTTATCTGAACCCAACAGTTACTCCTGCTGTCTGTTTTAGCCTACGAATGCTAACTTTATTGCACTTGATCCATGGTATTGCTTTTCGCTATATTCACCCTTTGTAACGACAATAACAATAACCATTTCATGTAATAATAGTGACTATTACTATTCAAATGACATATACAGTTTTCAGCATATCTACCTTTCGACAGTCCACAGTGCAGTAGAGTTAATAATTCAGTTCAGTCCCAGAAATTATCACTGTCTGTATTTCAGCCCGTGTCAAAAGACTTGTTAAATCTTGGGTTGCCCAGACTGTCATAAATAAGTGTTGTGGATTGGATTCTTTCACTGCTGGGGTATGTTCTCCTCAGGGGAGAAGAGGATTCTTCTTATTAGTCACTGTGATTAGTCACAGTTTCATTTCCAATTCAGGGTTTCGCTTATGTCTGACAAAGCTTGGAGCAATGTACTGTGTTGGTTGGTGTGTTCTCACAGATTATATTCTTCTTCCAAGTCACTTTTAGCTTCACTCACAGTTTGCTTTTGTTCTTGTGTTTTCTCGGTGGTCTTGTTACAACTCTGGTGTTTACTCTTTGTTTTGGTTGGGCTCATCAATAGTCAGGAAACCACAAAGTAGCAGGCTATTTTTATGCAAAACACTGGCTCTACCAATGTCACTTTCAGGTTTGACTTCATACACTGAGTTTCCTTGTGTTCCTTTTGTGTAATAATATAAATGATCTCTTCTCAGTAGGACCGAAAGTTGCAAGGTTCAACTCTTTCATTCCAATTTTTGACCACGATTTTACTACTACGGAGTAACTTTGCCCCATACCTTTTTCTGTTATAGTTATATACTTCTTGCATTCTTCTTCTCCATTTCTCCACATAGCCTTCACGTGTGCCTCCCTTGGTGGTAAGCCTTACCCTGAGCAAGCACTGAAAACCAGGAGTTCCCACTCAAGCTGTTTAGCATATTTGGAATTTGGAAAATAGGGTGATGATCTTGGATGGACTTCTGGTGAACTCACGGTTAATTGCAGAACAGCCATAAACTTCCATCTTTCTTCTGCAAACAAAAAATTGATGCGAAATATGGTGACTTTGATTTAGTGATTCATCTCTGGTTTAGCAAGTTTACAAGATAGCGGCTTGGGAAAAAGACATATACATTTTCTTCACTGGAGTGTCATCTATGCCTTCACCATTTTTGGAAAATGTATCACATTCTTCTCTTAGCATTTTTCTTAACACCAGCCGCTGTTATTTAGTCACAGAAACTGGAGGATCTCACAAAGCATCACAATCTTCCTTTTTTGGGTCGGGCTATCTTTTTTCTCTTGCTGATGGACTTTCTCTGAAATATTGTAACATAAGTTGATTTTCACTTGTTAAAGGCTAATTGAAGATGGTTTCTTCTGGTTTGGCTTCTTGCACGATAAACTGCTTTCACCAGCTGGATGTATCGTAAGAAGGAGTGATTATTAAGTGTGATATCATGACATGTGACATTAGTAGCAGGAATATATAATTATTTTAGACAAACATCCCTTCTGAAGACAAAGAAGAGTTTCAAAATGGACAACCCATTACGCCATCTGGTATAAAGACACTTCCTAAAAGCAGTCTTATGTGTGCATAACATCGAACACTGATGGTCTGACCTGCTGGAATAATCACTCTGTTCCTCCGATCGTACTAACACACACACACACAAACATGAAAGTTTATCTGATATACTGTCTTCCCTGTTAGTGTCCAAGGGCCTATGATATCTTCAACAGCTCTAATTTTGGTGCCAGGTGGGTGTTTCTTTCTCCACTCTTCATTAATGAGGCAGACATGTGATATGTTTAGCAGCGCCATCAGAGAAACACAAGATTAAACATTTCCTCCTAAATAGGTTAAGCAGCTTTAACTGACATTTTGGTTTGAGGTGTCTAAGGTAGCAGGACCTCGTAAGTTTGCTTTTAGTGTCTTGTTGTTTTGCTTTTTCTGCCTCCATTGGTTCTAATTGACTAATGATGCTACATATTTTCTTGTGAGCTTCGTTGTATTGCTCCTGGCAAACTTTTGAACAGAAAAACGCAACGTATTACTGTAGAAAGTGACTTCTTTTACACCACTGGCAACCATGGGACCTTAGTTTGAATCAGATTACAGTCTGACAACAACCTTCCCTCATTTTCCTGCTGTTTATGTGCCCTACAGGACTTTGGTGTCCTCGTTTTTGTGATTTGGATCTGTGTCTATGCTGCACTGAAAGGCTTACCCTTTTTTCATTTTTCCCATGTCGCCTTCAGCTACATCACCACATCATGAAGGTCTGTGTCCCTCCTCTTGTCCATTTCTACTGTTTTCATTCCTTCATCAGGTCATAGCATTCCATTGCTTGGGGAATGGTCCTGTTGAAAATACTTGGAGTTCACTGCCTTGTTGCTACTTGGTTTATGTATTTGAACTTCAGTTTGTAATTCGTTCACTTTTTGGTTTTATTGTACATATTCTTTTTTTAGCTTTTATTGTCTTTCCATTCATAGCTGGCTGCTGCTTTATTTATTTTCTCAATAAGCACCTTATCTGCTACAGCTCAAATAGGTCATCTGATAAACTATATGAATCGTTTAAATCATGTGGTGTTGAATAAAGAAAGAAGAGAGCAAAACATTTTCTTCAAAATTTAGTGGTTTGTTTATGAGGCATATGTTTCAATTAATTTTTGACAAAATTATTTTATACACAACCAAACGCTTTTCTAACTTAATCTTCAGTAGTAACTATCTTGGAACAAGAATGAACTTTTATTCTTAAATTGATTACAGTCATTACTTTTACTCAGCTTCCTGAATACTTTTCACAGGGAACAAAAACTATTTGACGATAAATTCAAATAGGTTATTCGCTTATAAAAATTTCATTAAAAATTCCATATGCTTAAAGTAAAGCTGAAAACAGTATACAACAACCCTAATGAACATAAAAAAACAACAAATAAACAGGGCATGTAGGGACAACATGTTTAACCCATCCGAACTTGTTCTAACCTTTGCTTATGTATTAGCAAAACTTGAACTTAATTTACAATTGAAGAACAGATGCAATGGTAGTTTTTGAATAAAACTGTATCAAGTTAAGGATATGGTTCTAAACCTGTTGTTGCTAGATTCCATAACGTGTCTAAATTGTAAAACATATTTCTTGTCAATGCACAATACTTCAAATCCGTCCCATGTCTAGATGGTAAATTGGATCCGATGCTGCTTAATTGACACAAGCAGGTGAGTATGGTAATATATTTTTCCTGGATGAAGACTCGACAACAATTCCATTTCATAATTTAATACAGAAAGAAATTCTTACACTTCATGAGAGTTATTTAGTGCTCAACGTTTTACTGATATTGGTTCATCATGGGAGATTGGGAACTTGTAACACATAATTAAGTACTGCAATCTGGCTTGCTCTGTAAGTTTAAAGGTAATGGAGTTATATATATATATGTAAAAATATAGTTAAGCATTAGCCAACAATTACCAAGAATGCACTCAATACAGACTGTGTTAAGGAATTTACCTGATCAAAGCTAGTAAAGAGTGATTGACATTATATCATAGACCTATCTTAATTCCGAAACATTTCATTCGTTTAACTTTCATTTTCTGGCTTACAAATACTACTAAAATCGTTGCATATGTCATACAAATGGTTACCTGTGTGAGTAACAAAAAAGTTAGCA